CTCTCTTTCTCTCCCTTTCTTCCCATTTCTCTTTTACTCCCTTTCATTTTCTTTCTCTTTTTTCTCCTGTCTTTCTCTCTGTCTCCCTTTCTTCCTATTTCTCTTTTTCTCCCTTTCTTTTTCTTTCTCTCTTTCTCTCTCTTTTCTCTCTCTCTCTCTCTCTCTCTCTTTGTATCTCTTTCTCTCTTCCCAACTCTTTCTCTTTCTCCCTTTCTCCCTCTCTCTTTCTTGCTCTCTGCATTTTTTCTCTCTCTTTCTCTTTTCTCTCTCTCTGTCTTTCTCTCCAATTTTTTACTCTCTTCAACAAGCTTCCACTCATTTCAGTACCTTTTCAAAAGGGGACAGACCGTCTCTATAGACCACCGGAGACTCTTCAAATAGCGGCTCTGCAGAATGGGGTGATTTCCAAAGTAATCTGTTGTACCTTATCACGTCCTGCTTATTCTCCATCCTATCTTTATTCTAGTACAGGGGTCCCCAAACTTGGCAACTTTAAGACTTGTGGACTTCAACTCCCAGAATTCTCCAGTTGTTGAGATTGGCTCCATTTTACGACTTTTTTCTTGTTGCTGGTTAAGGGAAGCACTGCAGTTGTTAAATTGGGAACACGGATGTCATGCCCTTGTTGGGGTTTGATTCTGAGGGGGAGATTGAGCAACTAACAGGGAGTGGGAGTGTGGCTCCAGTGGCTGTGGAAGAAACGGGGGAAGGGCACAGTCCGGCTGGGCATTCAGAGGAAGACCCAGGCCACCCCCTCTTCATCCTAGGGCATGCAGGGAGGAACGGAGAAGGAGCAACATGGCTTACGGGAGAGAAAAGGGCCCTGATCCCTTTCATTAGTTGCAGCTGGGAGAACAGGATATAAGAAGGGTGTTTGCACACAGCACCTTGCTGGAAGCAAAGCATGTATTATCTTTGTCCTCCTCCCAACTGTGTGTGCTATCCTTATCTTTTGGAAGTCTACAATTTATTATCCTGGCCTGTCGTGTCAATTACTTCAGCGTGGTTTGTGTTGGTTTTTTTAATTTCAAATTTATCTGTACTTTGGGTTCAGACTGCATTTCTTCCCTTTGTAGATTGTTTTTGGAAGAGTTTGATCTCCAGCCGAGGATAATTGGACATTGGGGGCCAAGTTGGAGGCATTAAAGGA